TTCAAGTAATCACGTAAATTGACATATTAATATCTGCATGCCTAAACCCAAAAAAGTGACATTCTTTTCACAGGTTGTATCAGCTTTTTAAATTTTTTAAATATTCGGATGAGCCGTACTAAGCTATTTCAGGCAAAAATTCTACCCATTTTATAATATAAAATGGACAATTAGCACTGCAGTCTCCAGTAACAACCCACATGAAGTACAGTGGACACCTCTGGTGAAAATATTCAAGCCGACCGGAAGAGGCTTTCTCAAGTTGTTACAAGGAAACCAATGTAAGGAATCGACTACATTACCTTCAGCAGTGGGCGCCTGCACGTGCCGATGGTTACAGTGAAAAGTTGAAGCTCACTGGGCGAGATGTTCTCAAGTTATAATCAGAAGAAAAAATTCAGGCATCCACATTCAGGTGCCCCCTTTTTGGATTCCTAATAGACAAGAAAGCCATTAAAGTTTATAGTGAAACTACGCCAACTTTCACCCAGAAGTGTGGATTTTTGACCTGTTTTAGTGAAAATTTTCACAGCGTTAGGATAAGATTTCGTTCGGATTTTTAACCCCGGAGGGTTAGCCACCCAGGAAAACCCAAGAAAGTCAGTGCGTCATCAAGGACTGTCTAACTTATTTCCATTGGGTTCCTTAATCTTGTCCCCCAGGATGCGACCCACACCAGTCGACTAACACCCAAGTACCTATTTGCTGCTAGGTGAACAGGACAACAGGTATAAGGAAACGTGTCGAAATATTTCCACCCGCCGGGAATCGAACCCGGGTCCTCCGTGTGTGAAGCGGAAGCTTTAGCCACCGGGCCACCGATCCATACATGTTTTCAACATGTATGGATCGCTCGATTATTTAAATCTACCTCTAAAAAAAAGTCAAATTAGTAAAAGACTGTTATCTGTGGCCAAGGTTTTAATTCACTCTTGAGAAAATCACAGAATCAATTATTTTTTATTTATGAATAACATTCCCTGATATTTTTTTAATTAATTATTTAATATGTCTAAAGAATCTTTCTTTCTGTTTCTTCCCAAAGTATAAAAGTATGTTGTCACCTGTGAGTAAGAGAACGTCGAGAAATGGTAATTGGTTGTCCTTCTCCTCCTCTAGTATAAAATTAATTGTTATTATTATTATTATAATCAAAAAAGAAGCGCTAAGCCACAAGGACTATACAGCATAAAATTAATTGTAAGTTCCAGAGTGTTGATAGTGTTGAACATGTCAAATATTTCTGGAGTTTTGGTAGTGACCAAAATATAAGGCATTGTACATGTTCTCTGAAGGATAGATAAGAATTTTGCAGTTTGCAGGTTATTTGAAGGTTGATGTTTAGAATGCCAATGTCACAATAACAAATAATCATTTTTCAGTTTTTTATTTGCTGCACTCAGTTAATGCGGCGGCAGTACGTGCTGGCCTGCAGCACTGGATGGACAACACCTGCATCAAGTTTACCCCAGTTAGCAACAACACCAATCAGCCTTACCTCAGATATTATTACGGTTCTGGATGCTGGTCTAACGTTGGATATCAACGCATTATTGGTCAAAATATCTCCATAGGCAGAAACTGTGACAAGGTAATTTTGACAGGAAAGCATTTGCCATAAGTAGCAATTTCAAGCTGCAAATCGAGGTTGTTGTTAAATTATTTTATTACAGTGGTCAATAATGCCCAACGTTCGTTAAATTACACCCACTCCTGAACACCGGAGCATCCTCGTACACCTACCCTCGTACTTAGATTAAAGAAAACCACGAAGCATTAATCAGTTTAACTTATAATTCTTTGTTATCCTTTATCATTCTCTCAAACAATGGCTGTCGTGTGAGTCAACACTCTGATTTTAATTTCTCATGCCTCTTTTATTTCTACTGCTGCTTTTTTTTTTTTTTTTTTTTTTGTACTGAACGCTGACAAAGAGGCGAGCACAGATCTGTACCTCCCGCATCAGAGTCATAACGAGGTTATAGAAAATATTTGTTGGAGTCTGGTATAAGAATCCAGCAGAACCCTCAAATAAATGTGATGAAGTGAAAATGCGAATATTGGAAACAATGTCTGAGAGTACAGCATATTCTCAACTTAGCTGATCAGTAAAGAGGGAATAAACTTTATTTTCCTTGGCTCTCTGTGAGATGTAATCAATTGTTCTTCCCTGAGTTTAGCTGTAAAACTACTCTCCTTATGAAAACACGTTCTTTAATTCTTACTGTTGTTTATATTGCACATTACTTAGTTTATATTAACCAAACAAAAATTATGCAAATTTGATCATGAGTGCCACATCTTTTTCCTGACAGCTGGGCACCGTAGTTCACGAGACTGGCCACGCCATTGGCTTCTTCCATGAACAATCACGACCCGATCGAGACAACTATGTTAAAATAATTTTCTCGAACATTGCCTCTAACAATACATTCAACTTTCTCAAGCGCAACACGACCCAGATCAACGACTACGATGTCCTCTACGACTACTCTTCCGTGATGCACTATGGCTGTCTGGTAAGATGATGATGACGATGATGGTCGTGGTGATTTTTGAAGATATTAGTAGTGGTGACCATGGTGGTGATAAGACGGTAGCAGTGATGTTTATAGATGTGATGATTATATTTTGACACTGTTTGCAGAGGAGACGGTGATGTTAACTAAGATTATATTCAAATTCAAATTCAAAGTTTATTCTCTATAAGGATTACAATGCTGAGTTTACAGAAATTTGGTTATTGTGTGGTTTACATGTAGTAAAATTGTGATTACAGAGTGTACCACTAGAACGCTTAGCATGGCTAGGCATTTCGGGCAGACTTAGTTTTATTCTTAATTGTAAAATATTACAAATTATGAGGTAAGTTGGTATTATGGCTAAGTGACTAAATACTAGTTTGTGAGTTTAGCAATGTGAATGCTTTTGTTTTGGCACAGTACATAGTTTCAGTATTGGAGTATCACAGGATTCATTATTTTAAGATTGAGATTAATATTTCTGTTTATGGTCAAATGAGTGAGTGAGTGTAAGTGTGAACCACCAGGTGGTATTCGTGTAGTTAGTTGACGGGGTGTATCTGGGAGATAAGATGTTTTCTAATGGTAGTTTTGAAGGTGATGAATGTGTCTGCAGTTCTAGAGTTCTCAGGTAGGGTATTCCAGATTTTAGGGCCTTTGACATACATTGAATTTTTGTAAAGGTTTAGTCGGACACGGGGAATGTCGTAGAGATGTTTGTGTCTGGTGTTATGCCTGTGGGTTCTGTCACAACTATCAAGAAAGCGTTTTAGGTCAAGTCATTATAGTCATTATAGTACATTATAGTCATTATAGTACTTGCAATGATGATAATGGTAGTGATACTGACAATGATAATAAGTTTGATGAGAGTGACGATGGTAGCACCGACGAAGGAGGTGAAGACGAGCATGATAAGGATGCTGACGGTAACAGTTGTAGGACATACTCACTGTACACGTGTAAATAACATGTGATTACATGTGCTTATGTGAAGCTCAGATGACGTAGCCCTAACACTCTACTGCTTCTGAGGCCCCAACGTAAGAAAAAAGGCGAGTTAAA